GACGCCATCTTTGATGCTGGCGGGGAGGTCTGCGTCTTCGCTGACCTCGGCTGTCACCGCCGCCCATGCCATGTTAGGGCAAAAGGCGGAGTCACTTGCCAATGGAGCACCGACAGGAATGCTCAAGCCATGCGGGAAGCGCAGAGACGCACGCAGACCCAGCAGTTCAGACTCCCCGGAGAAAGTCTGCTAAGGCGTGAGGTGCATTGCTACCCCATCAGTGTTATTTCAGGCCGATCTGATCTACTCTTACGGTGTAACGGGGAAAAACGTTTACTTCCACAGGGAATGGGCCCTTCGTTTTGTTGTATCTCACAAGGAAACTATTTTAGGTGACTAAGTACTTAAATGTGACACATACACACCCCACTCGTGTCCCGGATACCGAGATTCCCCCTTTACAAGAGTAAATCTTGAGAAATGCTTTCTGTTGGGTTATTCGACAGGAGATCGTTGTTGATTTCCTTGGATGGAGTTATTACAATAGCTTGGTTATGTTGGAAAATGCCATTTTTAGATATAGTACTAACGTATTTAGGGATGAAATGTCATCGTTATAATTTTCTTTAAAATGCTTTAGCAAAAGAATAAAATGAGAAGATAAGGCCTCAGCGCCTCCGCCGTGCCGACTATTTACATGAGTCTCATTTCGCCTCATGCCGGCTGGGCTAAGGGAACATGTTGTTGTTAAATGTAAGCAAAAATAAAATCCCACTGCTGAGGCCCATGGCTCAAACGACTATTGAAACTGCTGCCACAAAGGGAGGAAGATGCAGGGGAAGCAGGAATATGGCCTCACAGCAGTGCAGCAACTGTGCCACATGCTTTTCCTTGGTGATACTCAGACTGTATTTCACATGCAACCAGATTTGTTTTAAACATAATCTATTGGTTTAATGGACAGGAAGTCTTGCTCTGCATCTGATATCTTATGAAAACCACAAAACAGCTGCTAGAATAAATACATTCTGTAGTCAGTGGACAATTCTGACAAATGGACAAATGGATCATATCTCAAATGACATCCCCAGGGCCTGGGGATCATGGCCCCCATCCCTCCTCACAGCACGGATGGGTCAGACAGGGTAGGACCACTACAGTCCCATTTCAGTTTTGTTGGGAAATGGGAGCCCCAAAAAGCTTAATGTGTCAAAAACGACACCGTAGCAGGATAGCTAGTAATGCAAATGAGGTGTGCCTCTTGTGCTCCTGACTTTTTCAAACCCTCAGTCATTGACTTTAGTCAGTGAAAGTAACACAAATGTAAGGATTCTGAGCTACCTGAGCTGTTTTAGACAGCGATGAACACAGAGTAATTAACAGTAGTACCCTAAGTATCTACCTTCATTTCTAGGGAGGTAGAGGGGTTCCAAGCCAACCCTGCCACTGGGAGCTGAGTGACCTTGGTATATCGAAATACCTTGTAGTCAGCGATGAGCTAAACACACAGAAAAGCACGAAGCACCCCCCCCCCCCCGGAGGTGCCAGTGCATAACGAATGGCAGTTAGTGATTCCTCATTCCTTCCATGGGAAACCCTCAATAATGCAAAAGCGTGCAACTGAACACCCTCACTCAGGCACTAATCCAAGGAGAGGCCTAACTGACGATGGTGGGTGCGAGGCAGTAAGACAGGAAAGGAAGCCAAGGGTACCGGTGTGTCCCTTTGGCAGAGCACTGGACGGGAGGATGTGGAATCAGGCCTGGCACAGCCACTATGTGATCTTTGGCAAGACATTGCCAATCTGTGTAACAAGGATTTGGTTTGGTGACACTGTTGGTGTTTCCAACTTTTACCTGCCTACAGTCCTACCAGACCCTCATCTTCAGAAGCACAGGGCAGATGTGGGTAAACCTTAACACACTGTCTCCTCTCTACTTTTCTTGGAAACTATGTTCTTGGAATGGCTAAGCTACGAGTTTTCTACTCTGTTGAGCCTCAGAGGATTAGGGGTCCCCTCCACCCATGTTTAGTTTGCAAAAAAGCAGCCTTTTTCCATCTGTGCAGACACCAGACCCCAACCAGGTGAGCGAAGGACTAGGTGGCTCATTAACAACACAGTCAACAACTGAACTGAGATGTGCATTCCACTTGATGTTTCAGGTGTAGCTGATCATAATGTTTTGGCAGCTGGTGTGAGTTCAGATTAGGTTTGGGAAACAGAGCTGGAATGGAAGCCAGAGTTTATTGTTCCTATTGATCACACTCACTCGTATCGACTTATCAAACTGTACACAGTAAACATGGGCACAGAGGTTTTCTTTTCAAATACAGCACCAAGACAAATACAACAGGTCTGAGCCGGTGTAGCCCCGACCGGGATGTGCTGTCAGTGGGAGCAAACAGCAGCAGCTAACAGAGATTGTGCCTCAGC